ATTTTAGTGCCAAAACACTATACTGGTCCTGTTGTTACCAAGACATCAACTTTCTATCATTTTTTCTGCTTGTTGCGCCAAAGTACAGTGGTGGTCAATGGGTTCAGTTCCATGTTCAAAAGAATTAGCAGTTAAGGGCTTTTTCGCCACTCGAATTCAGTACGTCTGAAATGCAGGCTGAACTGAGTGCAGTGTGCCACTGATCTCTCTTTTCTATGACTCAATCCTTGCTACGAACCGGGATATCTTTAGGCAGTGTCTTGGTGGTCGCGTGTACGTGCGAAATCCGACGGTAGCCGGCTATTCGCTACGTGCAATATGGTGGTCTTTTTCACGTGCACATACCAGATCGTATGTGCGCAGTTTGCGCACGTATGCCTTCGTTCGGAGCATCAGCGAGTACGTGCACTTTAGTCAGTGATACACTTTTGTCACTGATCCGGAGTTCGACATCCCTTCGAATGTTTTCGTTAGATGATATCATCTATACACTTGCAACTACTCGACATTCGTCTCAGCCAGTCGGTCATTTGGCGCTCTTCTTATGTAAATGTAATATCGTTTACGGATATTTGCCGTTTTGATCCGAATGCTCGCATTACGTAATTTCGGTCATCACCATTTGTTTTTTTAGGGATATATATGTGACAGCTGGTTAGTCACAATTTTTCGGTACGCTGTTTTTCTTTCTATTTCAGGAAAAATGCGTTGGACAAAACTTTTCTTAGGATACATAGATGTAGCATGTCTAGTTTACAGATTGCATTCAGATGGTCTTGCGGTTGCTGGCAATAAAGGACATGAAATTTAACTGTTTAACCAATGAACTGGTAATGCTGTTTAAAATGCATTCCGACATGGCGTTCCTGTAGATGTCGTCAGGTGACATTGAACTGATTGTTTAACATTTAACTGAAGTGCACTCTATAATTACTTATGAAACTGGAGGATAGGGCATATTCTTTTAATTTTATCTCAAGAGTCAATTCAAAAATACCTTGTCACATCGACAACTTGATTATACTATGGTCGTGGCTGAGTGTTTAAGAAGTTTCACGTTCGATGCCGATGCAATCTTTGTCATAGTCTCGAATAACCTTGATCGAGGAATTGCCATACATTACTTCAGTCGGTAAAGGGTCCGACTCAGAACCGAGTGATGCCCTATGAAGGTTACTCGTCTTTCTTCTTTCAGAAATTGATCAGTGCGTATCGTCCTGTAGTAAACAGACGGACTACACAATGTTTGAAACTCCGTCAGACTGCGCTCCTAGCTGATGGCTTTTAAAAGGAGATCAGCGCCTACGATTAATTTCATAAAGAGTTCGTGAAAGACCAAAAATTCAACGATTATAACTTTCATATTTTTCTGAATTATATATGCACATAGGGCATATCTGCAAACGTTTAATCTACAGTGGTGAATGAGTAACAGCAGCACTGCGCTTAGTAGGTTGAACGATGTTTGTGCTATTTTTCCTACAAGCAGAAATTAAAAGTGATCAGGAAGATACGACTTGCTAACTACTTATAACTTAACGTTTAACGGATTTGAATGGAATCTAAATGGTTTCTTTAACTAAAAGTATTCATTTTACAATTCG